GCCTCCTAGCATTGAGAAGAAGCTACAGTAAGCATAACGATCACATGGGGACCTGATCCGAGTGCTCGTGAGGTCTGGGTAATCTTTTGCAGAGCGCAATATCAGGAACCTGTCTCATCCATGAGTACGAGGCTTTTGTGTCCGCGGCCGCTGCTCAGGCAACTGTCCACGCGGGTCTTCAACAGGTTTATGTCTACCCTCCTCGGTCAGCAACTCGCGGCGCCTAGCCACCTCACGTGTAAGGCCAGCTGGATGCTCTGCTAGATCAAGCAGAGACGACTCCATCCGCCGGACGAGTCGATGGTGCGCGGCTTGATTGATGGGCACAGGCTTACCAGCCCGAAGCATCTTCACATCTACAGCATCCAAATCATGTTGCCAGGAGTCATAGCTTCTGGTTCCGGGCGATTCTTCGCACTCAACCATGGTCGCACCCTCTACATGAAAAATGCATCTCGAATCAGCCACCTCGTAGAAAGCTATGCCATCATCACACCACTTCACACCAGAGTCGTTCTTCAACGACCGTCGAGTCTTCTTGGTGCTTGGCAACTTCGGGAAGGCGTGGCCACGGGCGTCCTTGCCAATCTCCTCGACTGCGGTGGCACCCTGAGAGCAACCCATGGTGGCGAAGCAAAGCTACAGCAAAAACCTCGAGCCGGGCGCTTCATCGGCAGATGTGCTGCGAAAAGCTATGCTGAAAAGAGTGCTTGCCGGTGCTGGGGGCTCTGCCGAAGCTCCTCGCGCTGGCCTGACATTCAAGGAATCTGGTCAGCCAGAGCAGAGCCAAGCGACACGAAAAAAAAAGGGAAGGGCCGAAAGCTCTGTGCGTGAAGAACATGCCAGGTCAACGGTGCAAGCGTCGATCCTGAAGCTGAGCGCTGGCTTGTCAAGGAAGGTTTCCTGTCGCGAGCTCTAACTCCTTTCACACTTTCCAGGTTTCTCTCGGTGCAACCTCAGCGCAGCAGGCGGCACTGGCTGGGGCTCTGGGTCACCTCGGCTGTTTTTCCATCGCTTCGCACTGCCACGAGTCGGTTGAGGTCATAGCTTGCATCAGATGTCAATAAGGCCAGAGCTTCTTAGGCCGTGCTGCCAGTGCCGCCGCATGTGCTCTTGCATCTGAACCTGCCACAAGACATGCGCCCTTCAGCGACGACCAGCGTTGCTAGAAATTCCCTGGTTGCGCACGCAACGGAGGAGTGCAACGAGGCCCCCGCACCACCGGGTTTCCTGCACAAGGGACAAACCAAACCGCCGGCTGCGCACCGAACTGAACACGAGTCGAATGACGAAGGCTAGAGTCGGCTCGAAGTGCCCAAGTACCTTACCAGTGGCGACAAAAGACGTTTGATCTGTCGTATCACTGTCAACCAGATATGCCAAACTTCCATGAAGGGACCCCCTGAAATCCTAATATCCTAATACCCTAATACCCTGAAATATCCTAAAATGCTAAAACTCTAGAATTCCCAATCTAATCCCCTAAAATCCTAAAGCCTGATGCCTTAATCCCTTACAACCCGAATATCCGAAATCCAACAATCCTGAAATAAGAATCCCCTACGTCCGAACAACTATCCTAGTCCAAACGCCTGAGCCCCCAAGCCTTAAATCTGAAAACCGGAACCCCTACGTTTGAAAATCCCAGGTCCGTACATGCTCGAGTTTTTTGAACATCCTTGAAACCAAGCCCAGCAAAGCATCCTAAACTCCCTACATGTTGAACTGTTTGATCTCCTGAACAAGCACGGCCGCAGAAAGGGAAAGGATTGTATACTGTAAACTCGTGAGTTTTGCACTGTTATGGATTCCCTCTCCAGTTGTTAAAAATCCGATGCCGATATCCATCCAGTTCTACGTTGTTAAAGATCCTGAACGCCTAAGTTGCATTGAAACCCAAAAATTCTTGAAGCCCTAACATCTTACATCTTGGATTTCTCATCCACTCAGTTCCTACAATCGAAAATTACCTCTTTGTCAGTTGAACTTCTCCACATACTTACTGTGGGCTTTGGCACATTGTGTTGACCTAAGAGAATCGGAAACTGGACTGAACGGCCTTGGAGTAAGGTTTTCGCACAGCGACCCTTTGGGTCGGGCCGCGCCAATAAAGCCCACAAGCCCGAAAGCCTAAACCGGTCAAGCTCCAAAGTCTAAAACCTTAACCTTTTCAGCTCAAAAATCCTAGGCCCTAAGGCTCTATACCCTTGTGAGACGTATGCCAGCTTACGGAGTCAACAGTGCGAACAACTAGCCACTTTTCAGCTTTGAACTCAAGACGTATTCGGTGAAGTGCGGTTGACAAGGACGCTATACAAGCAAGTGCTAGAGCGATTCCTATACAAGCACAGGCAGGTATTGTCCCTAGCATACGGAGGTCAACACGGCTTTCCTAAATCAAAGACCGAAAGACAAGGAATTTTCACAACCCTGAAACCCTTAAAAACCCCAACCCCTGAAACCCTAAGGCCCTATCGCCCGACAAACAACAAACCGAAACTCTCTCAGCTGAAGGCCAGTCCTCGAGGGCGCCGAACCACTTGCGGCCACCTAGCCGATCTATTGAGCGCGTTGGTACTCTAAAGAAGCCTCGACCCATTTTTCAGGAGAGGACCTAACAGGGATTTCAGAAGGCCTACTTGAGGAAGTTGAGACCCCTACGTTCCCCCCGAACCACGTAAGCTTCCTTATTGATTTTCCCCCATCACTTGGCAGGACAGTATCCCGTACAACATCCGGCTTGGCCTCGCCAGAGGCTGAGCCCCTCCCTGCAGTTCGCATGCAAAGGTCAGGGATTCTGCAAGGCAGAGCTCTCAGAGAAGTTCAATCTTCGCCAAGGCCTGAGGAGAGCTTGGATTCGCGTCTCTCTGGAGAACCTGGGCGCTTGTGGCCATGGCCACGTGGTTCGGAATTGCTGCAAGCATTGCACCTCCTTTCTGCGAGGACCTATGTCTTGGCGCCGGGAATCCCTTTTAGAATCATCAAAAATCACGAAAGCAATGCTGGTCGTGCACAACGCAAGCTTTGCCAGCATCCGGGGAAGTGGTTTGCACCAGTTGGGTTGAAAGCAACATGCGATTGTGGACACTATTCCGCCGTGGAGGTGGCATTAAGGCATGTGCCACGGTCGGCCCTCAGGGATGAATCATTTCCAGTGCAGCCGAGGCGGCGGGAAGATGAGGCTCTCGTGGAATTGCCTGAAAACTGGGAGCGCACCAACCAAAACAAAACCTCGAAGGCATAGGCTGTAGGGTGCGTCCGACGCGTGGCCTTGTCGCTGCACAGTTTGCCTCGAGAGCAGGCTTAATGTCATCAAGAAGGGACTAGCTTGAAATCTGTAAAGCGGCGGGGCCCTGGCACTTTCACCTCTGGCTTCTGCACGCCCGTGACACCTGCAGGAAGGTCTGCTACCAGTCCTGGCCTGGTGATTGCTGTATGCGGCTTCCCAATGATGATTCTGGAAACACGTGCTAGATCATGACGGACTCGAACTGGGTACAATGTTACAAAGGCCCAGGAATGCTTACGACTGTTTGCAGGCGGGCATCAAGAAACGGTTCTTCTCCATTTTATCCCACTTGGCAAACGTCACATCAGGCACCAGGCATGAGCCGAATTCTTTCGCGTTGCACTTGCTTGGCAAGGCTGCGACAGCCACGAGCTGAGCCGTGCGCGAGCAAACGAGCTGCGCGTTACAAGCAAAATTGCAAGACCATCAAGGACCGACCAGGGTCTCTAAGGACCACTGCTCACAGCAGGCCGACAAGCGAGACGGTGTCCGAATTCTTAGCTGCTAGGTGACCTAGCTATTATCAAAAGGATTCGACGGAGGAGCGGGAATGTGCTTCAGATTCACAACACAGACACCAAATGGTCCTCCCGCATGTGAACCTCGTCATCGGGCACCAAAACGCGAAAAGAAGTCGACTGTCTCCTGTGCAAACTTGAATTTAAGGCATTGCAATAGGAATTGCAACGTAATGCACAAGAATCAAATGGAAATGCGACTGACAGTGCTTACATGTTCGGACAGTGAGATTTCCAGCCCTCTCCTCCACACGAGAGATACTGCGAAAGCCATCGTCAAAGCCGACAGAGCAGCGAAAGCCAAGAAGGCCTGCGTGGCCCCAACACTGAGTCCTTCAAGGTCACACAGGTTCAAAAATAAGCTCGCCCAGCCAACGACAGGCTCGCCAGCGGGTCTCCTGGTGTCGGGCCACCTTCCCAAAGGCGTCCTGTTGAACCCGGCAATGAGCTGCAGGGATCGCCCGACAGTGTGCCCTGTGCAGCGGGCAAGTTCTCGAGTGCAGAGACCCTCCAAGGAGGGACGAGAAGAGAGAGAGACAGAGAGAGAGAGCAACACAGCGAGCACATGCAGGGAAGAAAACGGCCCACCTGTGAAGCGAGCTTTCTCGCTGTCAGGGTGTAGTGCTGGCGCTTCCATGATCTCTCTGCTTCGCAGATTGCTTTTAGCAGTGTGTCGTCGTTCAGCTCAGTAAGCTTGCTCCTAGTGGATTGCATCTGAATCAACGCTCCCTTCAAGACTGCACGAATCGTCTCTGGAGGCACGTGTGGCATCTGCTGAGTAAGGTCAGTTGCAAGCTGATCCTGTTCGTCCTGTGCATCCAGGCATGATGGCGTGCTCGGGTGGCACTCTCTGAACACTGCAGTCATTTGATCCTTGAACGCGGTTTTCGATTCACCCAGCAGTGAAATAGCGATGTCCCGCAAGTCATCTGCACTGCCCACGGGTAGCCGTGACACGACAGCATCCAACTCTTGGTCGAGAAGATCCGTGGCCTTCTCGAAGCACTGCTCTGGAGCATTGCACTGGCTGCTGCCGATGGAGCCACTCCCGAGAAGCCCAAAGTTGTACCAGGTTTCAGCCTCCTGGTGCAAGGTCCAGGCACGTGCCTTTGCCTTGCAGTCTTTCCAGCTGTAATGGGTGGACCCAACCGTGCCTCCCCCGGCGTCCCCGAGGGCAGACCAAGCATCCGCATACTTGGGATCAAGCTCCAGCGCCGTCACGTAGCAATCCTTCGGGCTGCAGGTTCTGTCGCCGCAGCTGCCCTTTACTTTTCGACCGCCACATCTTCCCAGGTTGGACCATGCTGGGGCAAATTTGGGATCAAGCTCCAAGGACTGCACATAGCAGTCGCAGGCGCTAAAGGTGGTGCCTTTCACCTTTCCACCCCCTGCTGCACCCAAGTTGTACCATGTACTCGAGCTTCTGGGACTGAGCTCCAACGCCTTTGCATAGCACTCCGTTTCGCTGTAGGGGTGGTTGCTCACTTTACCCCCACCGGCCGCTCCCAAATTTGCCCAGGTGTCTGCATAGTTTGGGTCAAGCTCCAGAGACTTCTCGTAGCAGTCTTTCCAAGTGTACCAAGTGGAGCCGACTTTGCCACCACCCGCTGTGCCCAAGTGTGACCACGCCCTTGAACTATTCTGCTTAAACTTCAGAACCTGAACGAAGCAGTCGGTCTGATTGAAAAATCTGGAGCCCACCATGCCACCCCCCGCAACACCCAAGTGGGACCATGCATCTGCATGATCAGGATCCAGCTCCAAGGCTTTCACGAAACAGTCCTTCTGGCTGTACCAGTGTGAATTGATGCTGGCTCCACCCGCAGCCCCCAGATGCGTCCATGCCCATACAGCTCTCGCCGTCCCAGGCTTTCTGGCTAGTTGTGCATGCCGTTGGGCTGACTGCTTTGTGTCTTGAGACTGTTGCAGCCAGTCTTGGAGGTACTCGACGCAGCTTGGCTTGTTGTTGCACGGGGTATGGCAAAGACCGGTAGCCAGGCAAGCAAAGAGCAATTGTCGCAGCATGGCGCCCAAAGCCCGGTCTTTCTAAGCGCGACTTCAGGTTGAGGAGCCCGGAGGTCTGCTTTCACAACACGAAGACGGCCAAACTGCCCCCCCCCCCCCACCCGACCTTTTTCCGAACAAGCTCCGGGCTGCTCGCCTGTCGCGTTGGCCGGCTCTTCCACAGCCCACCGCCTGTAGTCGGCATCCAACTGTGTAAGCTCCCCAAGACTGGCAGTCATTGGCAGTCTTGGCCCCAAACTCAGGCTGGGCAAGTTGTGGCAGCTCTGCCGAGCTGCCAACACCACTGCCTAGGCGCGCTGGGCAGAGGCTGAGCACAGCAAAACACGTCCCGAAAACCGCATACATTGACATTGTGATGGCTCGTGTAAGGCTTCAGTGTCAGACCGATGGAGGCAGCGGGTCGAGGGACGGCTGCCTGGCACTTTGGCGTTGACATCAGGATTTTGGAATTCTCGGGGCTTCGGAATTCTGAACACGCTCGATCCTGTCCCGCACCTCAGGGCCCCACACGCCCCTCAACGTGTCACGAGCGGCGAGCAGCCGGAAAAGACGCCGAGCACATTTCCGGGAGATGCCCACCTCTTGAGACACTGAAGCAAGTCTCTCGGCCCTTCATGCCACCTAGGTGAAGGAAATCTAGTCTACCTTTCTTCGACGAGAGATGTTTCCCTCAGTCGGGCATCGTGCTCTTGCAAAGGCTTCGGCAGCGCCCTCCTGCACAACTCGTCCAACGTGGGCAACTTTGGCCACAGCATCCGCGGAATTGAAGTACGGCTAGGGTTCCCTCCGCCAGCTGGCGAACAGCCTTCCAAGAGCAATTGCATCCGTTGTCACGGCGAAATAACATGGCCCCGTCGTCATGGAAAGGCCAGCCCAAGCGGCCCCGCTGGCGGGGCCTAGGCCGAAGGCTGCCAAAGGCCAGTAATCGGGAGCCGTGTAATGCCAGGCACCGAGCCACATCAACGGTAGCTCCGCAAGCGGCCCACCAATGGCAGCGACGAGTGCCAAAACGAGTGCAAAGAGCCGACCATCCAGGACGGCCCACTGAAAAAACGCCAGAAGCATCAGCAGCGGAAGCGCTGTGGCACCAGAAAATCCCGCAGAGATCAGCAGCTCGCTCGCTTTGATGATCAGGCAGGTGGATGTCACTGCCAGGATTGCCCGACTCAGTGGGCTCAGGCCACGCAGCAATGGCAAATTCTCGGCATTCCGGCTACCAAGTATCCTTGGACGTGTCTTGCGCGGCTGAGCATTGCACGGAGCTTAGTCAAACAGGCTTCTGGAAGGGTCGGAAACTTGATTTGCAGCCACCTCCTGGGACCCCTTTTGTCTAATCTGTCTCATCTGACTATCGAAGTACCCCCCTATGCTAAACCCTCAACCCAAAAGCCCTGCATGGTCGCTTCTAGGCACTCCTGTGCGACGGAAGCCCTCAAGTACCATTTCCCGTTGCATCAGTCCATGCTCCCCGGCCACCAAGAGTCGATGCAGCCAGGGATGGCAGGACACCGCCAAGCAGCGCATATGCTACGGCGAGAAGTGGTGGTACCTGAAGCATTCTGGAAACCACATCTGGGACATTTCACCTCCTGAGTCCAAGGTGCCAGCAGGGAAGTGCGCGCAACGCCGAGGACCAAGTCCGCGCTGACCGGCAGCACGTCGTAGCTCAGAAGCGCCTCTCAAGAGGCTCGCGTTGCCAAGGAGAAGGGCGCATACTGTAGCTTGCACGTCGCGGCCTGATCCTGATCCTAGTCCTAATCACCTAATCCCTACAGACTCCTAAACCCCAAACCCGAAAATGAAGGAAACTAGACACTCACTAACAAAACACAAAACCCTCTAAATATCCAAAGCCTACAAACCGTCCTGATTGTGAATGGCATCGACGCCGGGGCCCAGGACGGCACCCACCAATGCCAAGCCTCCTGAAGTCAGCTTGAAAAAAAACGGGATCCCCTCTGGTAAATCATTGGATGTGGTTTCCTCATGGTAACATCTGTAGCGAATACTGTAGTTTCCGCATGGTAACTTTGAATAAATTTCTTCACAAGAACCCAGGCTCAGGGGGCTACAAAATGCCCAGGTCTCTGTGTCCTTCTCTTCAGCTTCTCCGAGCGAATCACACTCTATACAGTTGTTCAGGCTGCGAACGTCAAACAAACTCAACAGGGCAAAACAAGCAGGGTGGGCGAACCACATAGAAAACGAGGCCAGGTGCACATCCAATGTGCAAGCAGTCTCAAGAGAGGGCTTTGCACGGGTCGCTGGGGAGGGAGCTATGACATGACGCCGAAAGCTTCCATCGGATTGCTACGTGAGAACGCTATCCATCGATCACAGTGGCCACAAAGCTACAAAGCTTCAACCTATCTGCCTCATACACTGGTCTCTACCGTCCTGACAAGCTTTCGTTCAGACGAATGGGTTCCGCCCAGGTCCTGCAGACCGCAAGTCCACGATATCGTCTACCGGCACCTGATGGAATCTAGGGTGAGGCTGCGAGTGATTTCGCGCGGCAGGCCGGGCCAGCGGGCCTCGTCGCCACCAGCAAACCGCGCACTGCTCCTTGTCAAACTCCACCGACCTATATGACTTCGGAAACCTCCATCCCTTAGTTGCCTCCATTCCTTCTACACAGCTTGAAAACTTTGCAAAGGTTGTGCAACCTGGAGAGAGCAACAGGTGGTGGCCCGTATTCGGAGCGGTCTTTGTGTGTTTGCTTTGTCGATGGGTTGACGCTATGTAAAATCCTATAGGTCAGCAGGAGGGACGCCTCCAGATCCGAGCAGAAAAACGTGGCATGACGCGCAGTCGCGTGCCATGCATGCGTGCTCACGCAACTTGAGGATGGATTGACAGCAAGTTGACACCGTAGCAGCGGCAGCATGCTGTTGGAAAGCCCCACCCTCCACGCCCCAACAGTAGCGATGACAAAGCAAGCATTCCACGAGCTGCATAGAAGCAAACCCTAGCTTCGACCCTAAACCCTAAACCCTAAGAAGGGCAAAGTCAGAGCCAGACCGCGTCTGGCTGGGCGCCTGCAGCGAGGGACTTCAGTGGGAGCCGCTACGAATGCAGAGGCCAAAGTCAGACCTGGCAAAAGCGGCGGCGCTCAGAGGGAGCCTCGTAACCGTGGAATCTCAGACCTTCGGCTTTCCCTATGATTTCAACTACCATGACATGCACGATCCTCGACAAACCTCCATCCTCATCCTCACACCACCATCTAGCAGAGCGCATCATCCATTACCCCATCGCAGCCCGGTTTGGCAGCACTTCCAACAAACAATACAGTGGCGGAGGCTCATGCAACACGGTGCCAGATATGCCATCATATCGCCACGAATCCATCACAACAAAGTCTCACTCTTGCTGCATTGCACATCTTGACAATACGGAGTCGTGCATACAGACACGCACTCTAACCGAGAAGAGAGACAACACAAGCAGCAAGAACAGCTTAATGTCTACGAAGTGTTCTGTCCTTCTACTTAGTCACTAACTTATAGTTCTCATAATGGATGTCCTACACGTCGTGGCTTGGCCTGCGAGCGTCAGCACACAGCAGCTGGAGCCGGCACATCGAGACCCACCGCGCTTCCGGCCCATTGGGGACGGGGGCTGGCCGGGATGGCTGAAGAAGGAATGGACACATCGCAGAAGCTGGTGACTTGCAAATGCACTTGCAAGACCTGCTTTGTCCTCCCCGAGCCGGCTGCAGCTCTTAAGGCACTGGAGCAAGGGACACTGCCGAAGCTGTTGCACCCCGCAGACTTCGTGCAGCCAGCTTCATGCCGTGTAGAAGGCTGAATACCTTTTGCACTGTGCCTGCAAGACTTCGACGAGAGCATCCTGCGCAGGTTGTCAGGGCCATGGAGAGGTGACACGCAGTCTTCAAAGCTTTTCTTTTCTTTTGGTCTGCTGCTTCACGGCTGCTTTGGCTTTGTACATCGCGAGCTGCTCAGAGCTTAGCGGCGCAGCCTGCAAAGTCTCGCTGTGATGGAGCCCGCAGCCCTTTTGGCATCCCTCGGCCTCGCGTTGCTGGTCCGGAACCGCCCCTGGGGCGAGGCAGGGCTCTGGGAGTCCCGGCTGAGGCTGAAGCCTCCATAGTCTACAGAGTCTACAGTTTGCAGGGACTGGTCCTCCGCGGTGCGCGCTGATGAAGGTGGCGGCAGTAGCAGCTGTGCCTTCTGGTTGGCATCAAAGACTCCTCGAGAGGACCACCACGTCTTGCCGTAGGAGATCCTTGCAGCTCGAGGCAAGGCAAGGGTCAGCTGCCCAGCCTTCAATAGGTTGCCAAACTGACTCAGACCGGGCAGCAACAACTCTTCTCCGGCAGAGATGTCGCGTTTGGCAACATAGCAGATCTCAGTTGGGCTTGTACCATAACAAGCACGAAGGCCTGCTACTCAGAAACTACTCAGCCTACTGCTCTTACCAATCCAGGCTGCGCTCAAGCTTTGTGAGGGCGCACAGCTTCCCACTCGAACGCGGCGGTAAGCCTTTCAAGGCGGCTAGGTCTCTAGGAGCCCAGAAGTGCAGTCTGGCATTTTTAAGAAGGCCACTTCGTCATGCCAAGTTGCCAAGTTTGGAGCTGACGCATGGTTGTAAATGCTCCCGCACCCCAAGACTACTCCTGGGTTGCTCGGTATTTCTCGACACAGGATATGCAGAAACCTAAAAAAACCTATACAAAACTCTTGCAGGGCAGATGAACATGAATGCACTTGGCTCTGCCGGGCCTTTTGCAGCTGAGCAGCGGAACAGGCCTGCATGCAGACGCTCGGCAGAGTACCGGTAGTCCGCAAGCAGGCGTCCCAACTCCTTATTTCCGAATGATCCTACGTCCTTGATCGACCACATGATTTCGCCTTCAAGTAAAATGGACTGCCAGACTGCATCAAGCCACGGCACACTCTCCATCAAGAGGATACTTGGAGCAATTTCCACGATCTCTCCCTCGGCAAAGGCCTTCCTCGCGTAGACCTGAAGTTCAGCCGAAGACTACAAGGAGACAGGACCTGCACCTCCGCACCCATCACGGCTCTATAGGTCCCTAAGTCCGAGGCGCTCCGAGGCCGTGGACATCGGAAAGCCGCGTTGCCAAGGCCGACGGGTACCTTAGGACGTCCTCAGGCACGAAGGCAACAAAAAAGGCCCTCTGCCGTAGGAAGTCACCAGCTCCGCCGCTCCTCGAAGTCCTTGGAGAAGAGGGATCTGACTCTGTCTCTGATCTGGACAGCTTGTCTCTACAGGGATGGAAAGCACGAGCTACAGTTACAGAGACGAGCAGCAGTCTCTGCAGCTGCGATGGCTGGCACAGCTCCCTGGCACATAATGCTCCGAGGCGAGGGGGAACACTCCTATGCGACTCTCCAAGCAGTTCCGAGAACTGGCTGCCTCCAAGGCTTTCTGCAGGGCGACACCCAGCAAGTCCTGCACGTCGCAAGACTCTCCCCACACCTTCGAGCATCGTCTTCCAAACGCATGGGTCCCGTGGCCGTGGGCTCTTTCGAGCACGAGGAAGCAGCAACTCCTCGCCTCTGGCGAAAGATTATCACGTGACTACGATTATGGCTGTTATCATTGTTACCATATTTACTAGTCTTCCTCCCCCTCCTCCTGCTACTCCTACTACTCCTCCTGTTCCTCCTGCTGCTGCTGCTGCTGCTGCTCCTGCTCCTGCTCCTGCTCCTCCTGCTCCTCCTGCTCCTCCTGCTCCTGCTCCTCCTGCTGCTGCTGCTGCTGCTGCTGCTGATACTGCTCCTAATACTCCTACTACGCCTCCTACTACTACGGTGTCCCCCCTGGTGCGACGCCCCAAGTTGTCTTGATAGGTTTTGTACATGGATGCTCTCTTCTCTGAGATGCACTAGACCACGGACGCCATTAGGTTTTGGACATGGATGCTCTCTTTTCTGAAACGCAGGAGACCATTAGGTTTTGGACATGGGTGCTCTCTTTTGCAACGATTTGGATGAACAAGATGATCAAACTTAGGCCAAAAAACCTTCATTCTGATCGCTAGGTTTAGGGCACGAAAATCGA